TGCAGATAACCTGTAATGACCTATGTGGATATCGTGGGTAGTGTCTTGCTGTTCCTTAACATCTGTGSAGAAAAAATGCCAGAGTGACAGGCAGGTACTTGGCTATAGCAGATTTGACCATAATGAACTGAGCACGTGGTTGAAAGGGAGAAGGATGACCTTAGGAAATTGCAGTAGACCAAAGGGAAGTCATGATAATTTCTGTTTATTTATTTATTTACTTAGGGGTGGAACAAAAAACACAACCTCCTTGAAAGGATTTTTGCACTGTTCTCTACTGTCAGCAAGTTACCAGCTTTTCTTTTTTTTCTCCTTTTTCCTCAGACACCCCTCGCTCCCCCAGAGGTCCAACAGCARTATCTGTCCAGTATTCAGCACCTTTTAGGAGATGGTATGGTACTATTCACGTCTACTTGCTCCTAGACTTGAGTAAACCATCAGAATATTAATAATTTTGTCACTTTTCTTTTTCTAGGCCTGACTGAGTTAATCTCTGTTGTTAAACAAGCTGTGCGTGAAGTTTTTGGAAGGTAAGAGCATGTATATCTCTGGGCTTAGCTTGGTATCTTCACTGTAATGACTGATCTCGGAGCTGTGACTTTTCCCGCAGGGAAAGACACAGTGATTTTTCCCTGTGAACACATTATGAATAAATGAAGGAAGTGTCATTATTAATTTCTGCAATTGACATGGTATCCTTTTTCCTTTCCAGTGTTTCCCTTAAGCAAACTTTGTCTCTTCTGGAGCTGGAGCAGAAACTTAAAGATATCAGGAAAGTAGTGGAATGCAAAGAGTCAGATAAGATTACATCTTATTATCCCTTGTGTCATTATCTGATGCCAGATGAAGAAAACCCCTTGGCAAGCCAGGTATTCTAATTTCTTTCATCTATCTTATTTTTAAATGAGAGTCCTCTTTTTGTGCCACGGTACTGTCTTTAGTAAATGGCAGYGCCTGTTCTTTCACGAGTCAAGTGCACTTATCTTCTTAACCTAGGCAATGTCAGCCTAGAATGTCGGCTTTGAACTCAGAAGCACAACCAAATTACTGCTTTTTGCCTGTGGTGCAAAGGTGGTGCACAGGAAAGTGATGGGGTCATGATTGGGATTGGATTTGAGCTGGAAAATGGATAGGAGTCAAGGGAAAGTTGTATCAAGTGTCAGTTCCAACATTAGAACAATTCCCTAAATCTTCGGAAGGCTCTTTGTCTCCATCCCCATCGTGGAGTTGGGGAAGCTCATTCCTGACTTCAYGTTGAAGTAGCATAAAGAAGCAAATGGAGCTTCAGTCGGTGGCCGTCACRTACCTACCCCTTTAACATAGGTGAATATGCAGATTTTATCTTGGTTTTGGAGGACAGAAGTGGAAAAAATACTTTGCTCAATTACRCTAGTATTTCTTTCTGATATTCTCAATTTTAAAATTACCTATGAAAAGGAACATTATTATTTTTTTAAAATGTATCATGGTATGAAATCCATTTCCAAAATTGATTTGCCTCAACACTTATCCCGAGCTGACTCTGGGATGCATAACTATACTGTTACTGCTGTTCTTACAGTTGCCAGTGGATTTCTTGTTGAAAATTCTGTGTTTTGCTTTTTCTAGGCYTATGGACTCACGGAAAGAGACACTGCTACAATTAAATTACTTAATGAAACTAGAGATATGCTAGAAAGGTATAAATATCCAATACTGAAAAAAATAGTCTTAAATAAAAAGTTGGTGAGGTTTTAATTGCCAAAAYGTGACCATTTAACCATTGCATTGCATTAAAATTTTAAATTCAGTAACTGTAGGCTGTGGCTTTTAAATTTGAGAGCTCTGGAATAGTAGGATTTAAATAGTTTATTTTTTGTTCTTTAGAGTCTTTTTCTTTCTTTTGTGAAAAATAGTGTTTTTTCGTGCATTGATAAATATCTCAGAATCATAGCATTTTGGCTTAATTTCTTTTACCAGAATAGGTATGGTTTTATGAGTGGCTGTATTCATCCTTTTACGAGGCAGCTACCAAAGTGAGGCTTCCACAGTAAACAATGTATACCAAAAAATTTAGTTTAAGTGCCAAACTGTTCTTAAAATGCATATAATTGTTAGACATCTGGGAGATTTTTGAGCATGAGAAAAGCCCCTTCTATGTTAGTGCTTAATGAGAAAGAGAAGTGATGAATACTTGTAATTTATCTGGTCCTCATTAATGTTGGGCTGACTTGTTTGGTGTGAAGCTATTTGGGGAGGGCAGYATTTCTTCAAGTGGCCTTTCCTCTGTGTTGTGTATCTTAACTAGGGAAGGGACATCTATAGCTCTCAGTACTTGTCTGTTGGTTTATTTATTTATTTTTAGTTTGAAACATAAATCCTGGAAATCAAAACCAGTATTTGTTTACTTTTTCAGTCCAGATTTTGGTACAGTTCTAAGCACGTGTTTAAACAGAGGATTCAGTCGATTGCTGGACAACGTGGCTGAGTTCTTCAGACCTACGGAGCAGGACCTCTGTCAGAATGGCTCTGTAAATAGGTAACTCTCTTCTTTTGCTGGRGTTTTTAGGTGTTTCGGCTTTTGGCTTCGTAGTGAATTCCAAAAAAGAGAACTAGAGATTTTCCAGCTTATGTGAACTCTCGTGCTGGGTAGAATTTGGGCTTGGTTTATGAAGAAACCGTGTCCTCGTTTTGCTGAGGTGGAGAGCTGCTCCTCACCCATGCCATTGCTAGAACTTGCCCCAGGTACCTTCCCATCCTTACTGAGGGATCTCAAAGTAGAAATCAATGAGGCTTCTCTGGGTGTGTGCCAGCAGTGCCCAAGCAGGCTGCCCTGCTGCCCTGCTCGAGGGGCTTGCTGTGCTGGGCTCTGCGTGCCCCAGACCGGGCAGCCTTGGGCACTGCCCCGACTGCTCGCTTGCCTGCAGGCAGCAGAGCGTGAGGTTCTTCGCTGCACTGCTGAACAAGGTGCACTTGGCATCTTCTAGCTCTTTTTTTTTCTTTAAGACTATGTAAAATTAGCTGTTATTCTGAAGTTAACCTTGTTTTAGAACACTGCAGTGAGAAGCTGAGTTCTGCATGAAGCTGTCTTCCTATCAAATCCTGTGTTTCCTATCAAGTCCCGTGCTTCTGTGATAACTCCTGTACACTGTTTTTACTGTAATATCCCAGAGGTTCTACTGTGGCTTTAGACAATTATCTTGACAACTCTTTACCGACACACAAAAATGTGCTCTGGCTAAACGCATTTTTTCTTGCATGGAAGCAAGTGTAAGGCTGTGTAATAAGGACACCAGGTGAAGTCTGCTGTGGCAGCCCTCTGTAGTCAGTGAAGGCCTTGACAGGGAGAACAACCAACTTCATCTGTACATTTAATAGTCTATGCAAAATGAAGTTCTGCCAACTCTTACACATAAAGTAATAATTATTTTGAGTTGTAATAATKATAAAATTTAATGGCTTCACAGTACTGGAGCAATTAAAGGTCAACCTTTTTTTTTTCTTTCCTAGTCTTTCCAGCGTCAGTCTTCCTTTAGCCAAGATAATTCCAATAATAAATGGGCAGATCCATTCAGTATGCAGTGAAACTCCCAGTCACTTTGTGCAGGTAAGAATTTTCATTATTTTAATACTCCAAATAAAATTTAGTAGTGTAAGCCTCTGTTTAATAACATACCTTTGTATGTTTGGTTTTTTCATTGCCTTTAAAAGAAGCAAGAGCAGCTGGTCCAATTGAACTTTTTGTACACTTGCAGCCTCCCAGAAGATGCGTATGAGGCTTTTGTTTGCTTTCACTCTAGAATCCCTTCTCTCTAATAAGGTGCAATAAACACAGRAAAGCCTCTCAACATGGTTCTACTCATAAGCTCACTATTCTGCTCATAAGCATTTCTAATTCAAGAAATTTGAAATTAACTCTCTGTGGGAGAGCCAAATGCTCTTGTGGTGATAAATGCAACTAACAGCAAAACCCAGAAAGGGGAAGGTGTGTTGCTTAAGCAAATTCTTCTTTCCCTTTCTTCCAGGACCTGTTGATGATGGAACAAGTGAAAGATTTTGCTGCTAACGTGTATGAAGCTTTTAGTACCCCTCAGCAACTRGAGAAATGAACTGCACATGAGTAGGGATAGATCATGTATTTATAACACATCCCTTGAAACTACTGATTCAAAAAGGTTAATCTTACTATGGTGTAGGAGGGGTAGACTAGCAGAGGGAATATACAGCCTGAAAATGTTGGGAGTGAGCCCATATTTGTTCTATCTCATAGAATTCTGCTTAAACTGTCCTTCTAAAATATTCTTACTGAAAAAAGTCCCTACATGTAAAGACTTTTCTATTAAAAGCTGGCTAAAGACTTCCCTAATTTATTTACAATAACTTGAATTTCATCCACAAGGCAGATAGCCACATAGCAGTACTCTAACAAACAGCTCTTAGAAGAAGGAGAAAACAAAACTCCCTGGGATTTGTTATGTTTTTGGGCAAAAGAATGACAATAATGATTAAGAATAGCACAGAGCATCCTCTTCCCTAAAGCTTTTCTTGTTATAAAGGAAAACTTCTCTTTCTTTGACTTTATGAAGTTATCCCAAAGAGTCTGAAGTCATTTGACTGATGCAAACTGATGCAAACTGATGCACAGTCCTCCTCAGCAGGCAGGGGGTGGCATTCTTGCTTAATACTTAAAGAATGTGGATTTTTAAGAAGTTCTCTTGTTTATGCTGTTCAGACAGCAACTGCTGTACWCAACTTGTAAATATTTTATCTTAATTTGTATTAATTTTGAGCCTACTGTCTGTATTGTAATAAAATATTTTAATGTAAAGTTTGTGTGTGTAAAACTTAGTGCAGGTTGTGCTGTCTCCTTGCCCCCATAACGTGTGACTGTGTTGAAAGGAGAATGAAAGTAATGTGTAAAGCACTTCACATTTATTTATATTATTTAAACAATATTTTCTTAAGATTTTTTTTCCCTTATATTGAAAAAGCATACACTTGGTTTTCTTCCTGCTCCCCTTCACYGTGCAGACATGATCATTTGCAGAATTTCTCTATTTGGATGCAATCCACCTGCTGCTTAAAATGCTGATTTTTTTGCCAGAGTTGAAGATGCCTAATTCTTTCTTTAAGAAAAAAAATAGTCATAGACAATATTAAAGGAAATCTCATAAAAGGCACTCAGGTAGCTGCATAAAAAAATGGACCTAAACAAGTCATTATAAATCTTCTTATATAATGATAAAGATCAACTTAAAAAAACTCACAGTTCTGATTACAAAAATTTGTACTTAATCCTAGCCCCTGGCAAAATTATTCAAGAGTAGGAGTATTTAAAAGTGGGAGTAAAACTCAGACTTGCAAATGAAGATGTAATTACGCTTTGCAACAGTGGGGGGACCTCCTAACCTTTACAAAACTTTTCATGCAGGTACAGTACAGCCCGGAGCCAAAACCAGCACCTGCCCCTTTTTAGCAAGCACCAGGAACGCTTATTCTTCAAAAGTGCCACTTTTTTAAATGTAGAGTCTTGCGGAAGGTATTTCCTGCTTTAAAATAGTTTTATCACTGGCAGCTACATTAGCTGTGTGAGCACTTTTAAGAGGGGCTTCARTGAGGCTTCTTCTTTCTCGAGGCTTTGCAAGTAGAGCAGCTGGCTCAAAAGAAGTGGCGAGCACAGCAGAGGTGCTGAAACAGTTGCACATGGCGCTTCAGTGATCTAGTACTAGATTCCATCATCCCGCTTCCATCCTTTAATATTAGTTCATCTTTTATTTTCACAAAAGTGAAGTGCTTGATGTTTTTCACAGAAGGAAGCAAGAGCTTGAAATTCATGGCGAGCTGGGGGTGGTGAGGAGGCGGGGGAAAAAATATGCTGCCCCTTGAGTAGTTTCTCACTCAGTTTATGTTTGTCATTTGCAAAGCCCAGCCCCACTGACAGGGTAACTGCCTCAGGCTTAGTTGAGGTAGAGCTACCACCATCCCCTTCTCTTCCAGGGCAGCCCATTTCAGCAGTGCCTTGTGGCCAAGCAGCCTCACCTGAAATAGAAACCAMAACGGTAATTAGAGTCTTTTCAAAGTACATATAACTGTGTATTTGACAAAAGCAATGCTCTTCCATAGCTACTTTCCTCTCAGATTATCCTTAACTACCACTCCTTGGCCACTTGCCAAGACTGCCAGGTCACAGGACCTTGCAAAAACACTTGCAAAGTAGACAGGTAAGTAATAGAGGTAGTGGAGTTAGCTAAACATACATCTAAATTTCAGAAGTATTCAGGTTCATGAATGTACATAAACACTTTACAAACACTCTGCATGTGATGTAGGGCTACAGACACAAAAGTGTGGAGATTACTATCATCTCTCTCTTAAATGCCCATTTCCCAGTGTAAATTTAGTTTTGAGTTAGCATCAATTGCTGAGAGAATGTAGACAGTAGTCTCTGAATGAAGCTGACCTAAACAGCRTATGGCAGCTGCTGTGAAATGCTGAAGACTCAGGTGAAGTCTTTAAATACCAGTCTTTACTGCTCAAATATTATTATTCTGCACAGSCAGTCACCTAGGTGCCTCTCCGAAATTCGAGATGAATCTACATTTGTTTTAGACAGTGTTTGGTGTAGGCTTTTGAAACMACTGATTGACCCTCCTTGCAATGTTTTCATCCTGCTCACAGAGCTGTTTTACTGTTCTCAGTCAAAGCTAAACGAGGGGACGGAGTCTAGGARCACACAATGCACTTCTGTGGATGAGCACAGCTTGACAGACAAGTAGGGTCACAGCCACTTGCTGTTTTGTATCCTTGGATAACTAGAAGTCCTTTAAAATGTAAGTTTGTGCTTTCCCTACATGCAAGGCCTTGATTTGAAACTATTGCCCCTATTGCACCATTGCAGCACTTGCAATATAGCTGTATTGCAAACTCATGAGAATGGATACTCCTATAGAAAAAAAAATCCCGGTTTAGAATCTATCCTGGGAACAGCAGAGCTGGCACAGGATTTCCCGGCTGCTTGGCCTCTTTTTCAGATCCTCAGTCTGCAAGTTAAAAACTTGTCTCAGCAACAACCAGGCCCAACTCTATTTGTTAGAGAATATCCCACTGGGAGGACTATGACAAGGAAGGTCCTGGATTTAAAACTAACATTTTTGCTGGGTCTCTTAATATTCCCAGTCCCAAGAGCTATGCATTCCCCCAGCTGCCAGAAACCAGAGCAAACTGACAGAGATGGTAATACTTGAGATGCTTTCCACATGCCTTGACAATGTGTTCACTTTTTGCATTACATTCTGGGATAAAAACCCCATGGTTTCAAGGGAGTAGAGGAGAAGAGTTGATACCTCTGTTTCTCCAAGCGTAGCCCGTGGTTCCCCAAGTGCCAGCATTCCAGAGACGGGCCAGTTAAGGAAGAGGGCGTAGACTTTGCCTTCTGCAGGCCGCGACGTGTACCTGGTTGGAAACGGGCAACAGGTTTCCCTSTAAATCTTCCAAAGGGCATATATCAAATTCACACATAACCAGACAGAAAAAAAAAAAATAGATTTAAAAATCTAGTGTTAGTGGCATTTTCACATGGCACATAATCCATACCGTTTATGAAACTAATGTTGCCTGCAAATACCTTCCAACAAACTAGAGACAGTGGAGACTATTAAAGAAGGGAAGTGAAAGATCCTCTTTTATCTTTAGCAAGTACATAGCACTGCTGCTCACTCATGTAAGGAGGAGGTTACGAGGTACAGAGGAACCAATAATTGCACATTGCATTCAGGAAATGTGGTAATTTGCACCCATGCTCTAGCATATAACAACTCCACAGAAAAAAATTAATACAAGTTTGTGCAACAATAAATCTTTCACATTATCCACCATTTGTCCTTGGTAATGTTGGAGTACTTGCAAGATTTCTACAGACTTCTGTAATTTTAATTGCTTTTTTTATCATTGTTCCCAGAAATGCTTTTACTAAAGAGCTGACGTTTTAGCATTTCAAGGCTACGTCTAGATAGCCACATCTTACTGGGAGCAGGAGTAAAACAAAGTGCAGGGAAGCAGAGAAGAGGTCAGACCGAAACCCTTGCAGGTCATTAAGTGCCACAGCAGCTGTGAGGCACAGAGGCAGTCTGGAGTCTAGGCAGCGGATGAATTCAGTGATCAAACTATTGCTGTCATTTCCCCAAGCCTTTTTACCTCACAAAAAAAAATGTGGAGTAAAGCTGGACAGATCTTTAGTCTTTCTCCTGTTTCTCTCCCTCCCTCTCTCTCTCTCACATACACTCACAACAGTGAGACTTATTTCAACTGCACCAAAAAAAAAAAAAAAAAAAAAAAAAAAAAAAAAAAAACCCACTGCATAGCAATTCCAAACTTTGCTCTTTTTTAAACAGTTTCTGCTGCCAACTACGTTAAGCAGCACAGGATCATTAAGGAAACACATGCAATCCTCTCTTCAGCCTCTGGATCATGCCCAAACCACCTCCTCCGAGACCTGCTGTCCGCTCGTGTCTGCAGCCGTGCCACGACGCCCCTTAAAGCTGCCCTTAAAGCACACTTTTACTTCCAGCGCACGGACGAGGCTGCAAGCCATGAACAGTTCCCCGCGTGTCTGCGCGGCGCCGGCGCGGGGCGGCGCCGCTCACCACACGCCCGGCGCCGCGCTGTCGTTCTGCGCCCTCCACGGCCTCGTTGCGTACACGGCGTCGCCGTTGACTTGCAGCCAGGCGCCCATCTGCCGCAGGCGCTCCTCGAATATGGCAGCGATGCGGCCGTCGTGAGTGGGCCCGATGTTCATCAGGAGGTTACCCCCGCACGACACCGTTTCCACAAGTTGCTGAGGGGTTTTTGAACAGACATGTGGAACATATGGTTAAAAGAGAAACGGAAAAGAAAGCAAGCAAGCAAACAAACCAAACCCCACACTCCAAAGTGCCTGTTAAAGCCTGGCACGTTACTACAGAATAACGGACYGAACTGGCCACGTTCCTGCTCGGTGTCTAGGCACAGAGCGGGGCATCTCAATAGTCAACAGGAACACCCGAGCTCCCATAGGAGGCAGCTCAGTTATCTATTTTTCATGTCAGGAAATAGCCCCAATAGTCTCACTCCAATAGTTCTGACTGAATACATGTTTGAATGAAATCCTACATATTTTTAAACATTTTAACTTCTGCGGGAATTTCTTAAGAATTTTACTAACGGAACACGATTATTTCTCTACACGAGAGGAGAATAGGGTTTCATCATTTTTGTTGAAATTGAAGCAACTACTTCCTCTGTTTAATGGTCTGCCTATTTTATGGTAACAACAATAAAACAGTAGGAAGCTTTAGAAGTTTAGTAGCTAGTTTTCACGAATTACTTAGAAGAAAATTAAGCACTATTTTATTTAGAAAAAAAATTGTTTCTATTATTACTATAGAAACTATAGTTTCTATTTATAGAATCGAAACTATAGTATATTACTAATAGTTACTATTTATAGTATTTACTATACTATACTAGTTACTATAGTAGTATACTGTAGTAATTGACTAGTACTGTAGTATAGTATACTATAGTACTATAGTAGTTACTATTTATACTATTTATATAAAATGAATTATGATTTATTAATTTTTTAATTAAAAATGCAACTGAAATATGATACCACATGACAGTCAGGAGGGAGAAGCAGAAGTTCATCCTACTGTACCTTGACCAGTTCCTCAATCGTGAGGTAGTCATCCAGCTTCGCGTCCCTCCTGTAGCCCCACGACTGCCTGTCGATAGTCATGCAGTTCTCCCACTTGTGAGGGAGAAGGTGGCCGGGGTTGTACCGGTCACTACAGGTGTAGAAACCTCCGTGTTTGCAGATGCTACCGACTCCCCAGCGGTCATTTGTCACAACTGTATCTCGAACTGGACTGAAAATTCAAATTTAAGGTTGTTATTTTCAGAACTACAGACATGAGCAGTGAAATACCCTTCCTCACCCCTCAGAAAATAGTATTTATTTCAGTTCGATCAAATGCAATTTCAGGGATCTTATTCTCATCCTTTCCTAGTAACAGGCCCGGATCAGCATTTCTTAGGGAAGAATGCTGAGAACTTTCACGAGAGATCTGGGAGAGAGCACGCTGTGCTGCCTATCCACTGTCAGATGTGCAGTCCACAACAACAGCAACGTACCCATATGCTTAGGTTGTTCTGCTATTCTGCTTGCCCATGCTCTCCACAATACTTACAGAAGAATATAAAGTTTGGTAGAATAACTGGTATCATCTTAACTGATGAACTCAGTTTTAAAAATAAATAAATGAGCGGGGGTGGGGGAAGGAGACAGGGTAAAGGGCTTGCTTGTTTGTTTTAAAGCAAACTTAGATTCTTCTAGGGCAGACCTGCATTCTTGACACTKTATATTCCAGAAAACATAAGCCAAGCCCCAAAAGGCAGTGGCAATGAATAAAACATACAGAAAGTGCCCAGCTAGAAAGGGAGCAGAGTTTCCAGTTAGGAAATCATGACTTACCTGTCATTATACAGCCAAGCTAAGAAACCTGTGCTGTTCCAGTAAGTATCTGGTGCATTTCCATTCCCATCAGACCAAATTATTTCTGGTTGGTACTTGGTAACAATTTCATAGAGTTCTGGTAATGATTTGCTGGTTGGAAACATTCTTGTCTTGAATACATGGGTGGCATCTTCAAGAAAGAGAGGATTGAACCATTCAAATAAGGAGTGATATAACCCAAAACGCAAATCAGTCCTGTTTCTAATAGATGTTGCTAGTTCACCCACAAGGTCTCGCTTTGGTCCCACATCAACAGCATTCCAGTTCCAAGAGTATTTGGATCCCCACAAAGTAAAGCCTGAAAAGATAAAATCAAATGGTAAGAAACAGAAGCAGGAAAGGGGAAGTTTAAGTTCTTCTTTTTGCAGTTTGCAAATGTGTGCGCGTGTATCTGTGTGATGAAAATAATATATGTAATACTATGGTCATCATGGTGGAAAACATTTCTATAACCTCTGTCTAACCACTGGTAACGGTTTTACCATATGTATTTATGATGGTGTATACACATATTTTTCTTTTCACATTTTTCTTTTTCTTCCACACATGCATTTATAAATACCTTTAAAAACCTGCAACTGCCAAGTCTGTATTAAATTAGGATAAGTATTATTTTCTCCTTAGTTGTTCACTCCATTCAGATGTCCCATGAAATTAACCAAAAATACAGCAACTGGATTTGCACAGACCGTTTCAAATACAAACTCTCAACATGCAATCAACGAGAGGAAGACAAACTGCTCTTTCAGKTGAATGTAAATGACAGTGCAATCTGCAAAGACTATTCTCCTCCCATATGTTACATCTTCCACGAATGTTCAATTTTCATTTATCTTGACATTTGTAGCAGCTCAGTCACACAGCCAGTTTATGCGTATAAGCAGAATGCAAAAATTCCTGCAATAGCTTTTAAAACATCAAATATCAGGAGAAATTTAACTTTTCAGACATTCAGCAATCCATAAGCTCCACCACCATTCAGCTCAACATAAGCTGCCCCCAAAGGGACCCATAGGGACCTGGACAGACTGGACGGCGAGAAATCTCATGAAGTTCAACAAGGGCAAATGAAGGGTCCTGCACTTGGGGAGGAATAACCTCGSACACCAGTACAGATTAGGGGTGGACCTGCTGGAGAGCAGYCCCGCAGAGAGGGACCTCGGTGTCATGGTGGACGACAAGTTGACCATGAGGCAGCAGTGTGCCCTGGTGGCCAAGAAGGCCAACGGGATCCTGGGGTGCATTAAGAAGAGCGTCTCCAGCAGGTCGAGGGAAGTGATCGTCCACCTATACTCAGCCCTGGTGAGGCCACATCTGGAGACTGTGTCCAGTTCTGGGCTCCCCAGTACAAGAGGGATGTGGAGCTGCTGGACAGAGTCCAGCGCAGGGCTACGAGGATGATCAGGGGCCTGGAACATCTGCCCTATGAGCAAAGGCTGAGAGAGCTGGGTCTGTTCAGCCTGGAGAAGAGGAGGCTGAGGGGGGACCTGATCAGTGTCTATAAATACCTCAAGGGAGGCAGTGAGGAGGAGGRGGCGGCCTCYTYTMAGTGGTGGSCAGSGATAGGACTAGAGGAAACGGCCACAAGCTGAGGCACCAAAAGKTCCACAGGAACTTAAGGMAACACTTCTTGACAGTGAGGGTGACAGAGCCCTGGCACAGGCTGCCCAGAGGGGTTGTGGAGTCTCCTTCTTTGGAGATCTTTAAAACCCGCTTGGAYRCMGCCCTGTGCCACRTGCTCTAGGTGRCCCTGCGTGAGCAGGGGGGTTGGACTYGATGACCTCTGAGGTCCCTTCCAACCTTAACCATTCTATGATTCTATGATAAGCTCCACCAAAAGAGCTCAATTCTCACCTTCAGACAGCTTTACAAGCCCTGCATRACAAATTCAACAAATTCTACAATATTTTTGTGAAATAACCAAAAAAAAACAGCCCAAGGCTACTGGACTGCCTAAATGAATCCTGATTCTTTTGAACCCAGTGGGAACTGTGCCATGGGCATCACTCGGATGAGAATGCTGTGCACCAGAACTGGCACTAAGATGCATGAGCTGCTTGTTGCCTGTCAGGTTCCCACGTCTSCCCAAACACAAGCAACATTCCCTAGCTGTGCTGTCACATTGTTTCTTCATACTTCATGCTCTTCTTTGCTATCATGTTTCTTTCTAAMCATTCTTTTTCCTTAATTGTAAGGTGCTCTACCTACAAAAGGCATGTTGTCAGAAAAAAAAAAAAAAAAATTAGAAGTCTGTGGTGTTTGTGAGGTTCCCCTACACTTTCACAGAAAGGCTTGCAAATGTGAAGGTTTAGTCAAGTCTACCAGTCAGCAAGCTACACTACCTAAGAGCATCTTAGCAGGAGTCACCCACCAGAACAGAAAGGAAAAAGCATGGGCGGTGTGAGCTAAGAACTGAGAATAAATAATGGGACAATGACTCAGGCAACCCCCACAACCCCCAAAACGATTTTCTTCATAATAARCTTCTTGCATGATGGCAAATCCCTCACATCTGTAAAGCTGCAATATCCTGCTTTATTTCTTTCAGTGCAAGTGTGACCCCTGTCCTCTTAGGCATCCAGTTCAGATTCTGGCTCCTGCGGCATCAGGAAGAGCTGCACCCTGTGCATGTTCACACGGCTGAAATGAACTCCTGGAACCTACTCTGAAGTCCTTGGGAAATCTACACAGATAGTTAAACACCTGTGCACACCACTGTTTTATACATAAAGCAGCCCAGAGTTTACTCACACTGGTGCCTTAGGCAMTAAATTACCCAGCAGTCAAAGAAACTATAGCTACTGCAGGAAGCACCTACCCGCTCGGGCAAGAGAACCAGGGCGCAACCAGTTCCTCCTTCCACGAAAATTTTATGGCTGCAGCTATAATGTAAGAGGCAGGGAAATAAATGCATACTTCTTTGGCTGGGCCAGGGCAGGAGAGTCCATCTGCTCCCCCTTCTCAGCCCCCCTTGGCAAGCAGGGCAGTCGCTTGGGCTTTTCTTCAGCTGACAGAAACTTAACAAACCTTCCATTTACCTTCATGATGCTTTGACGTTAAGACAACGTATTTTGCACCCGAGGCCTTCAGAATATCTGCCCACTGATYGGGATCAAAGAATTCTGCTGTAAACAATGGCCCAAAATCTTCATATTTAAACCCAGGTGGATAATTTGCCTCCATAAATCTCACATAGGGCGCTCTCTTTTCTTTCTGCCAGTACCACCTAAAAAACACAGTAAAACATAACAGTAAAAAAATACAGCTGCCGATAATATTATGTAGACRCAGAAAAGTGAATTTGATGATGAGTTCCTATCTGCATTCATACTGAAGCACACGCTGTTAAGGACACTGGAAATGGAATAAAATCACTTCAGAAAGTAACAATTTCAAATACCAAAATTTCCTTTGCTCAGCCCTCTCTCCCAGCACTCTACTTTTTTTCCAAAACTCCACTCTGCAAAAGWCCTGAGATTTTATTCGGAGCATTAGCACAAAGCAGTCATACTTTGAAAAAYGAAGTTAAAAACAAAAAGACACAGTCTTACTCAGTGCCCTGAGGAGGAAAATCTACAGGAAGGCAGCTGTAAGCATAGGTCATGTAAGCAGCCTGAGTGTCACCAGGTATGCCTAATATATCTTACCCTTTTCTGGCCTAATGTAACTTACCCTTCTCTTGCCTCAGGCAGCAGCCAGACCGCTGCTCCCCACGCCCCACAGGACGCGAGACAACAAGGACGTGACAAACAACTTCAACTACATTAAAGTTTTTTGCGCTCTTTAGAAGTAAAAAGCAAAACTCACAGCAAGAGAATGAATGCGTGAGCCTGAATCTGATCCGTGCACAGGTGCTGCACACCAGCACTCCGAAAAACTCTTTTTTTTTTTTAACTAATTAGTAAGTGGTGAYGATGCCTACAAAACAAATAAACAACAAAAATCCTGAAACCCTTAAGTGAAACTCTGGAAGGAGCAGCCCGTGTTTTGTCTGCGGAAAGCGGCCGCTTGCCCATAGCGACCTTCCTTTGCTTCACGGTGCRTGCACTGAGCTTTGCCCGGCCGCGGCAGCCGCGGGGCTCTCAGCGCGCTCGCGGGCCCCGGGCCCGGCGCCTCCTGCCCCGCCGAGCCCGGGTACCGGGGCGCGGGTGCCGCACGCAGCCCAGCCCGGGGGCCGCGGAGCTGCCCGGGAGCTGAAAACGGGTGGGGCGAAACCGAGGGCAGCGCTGCCCCCGGGCGCGCGGGGCCGCTCACCAGAACCACTCGCTGCCGAAGCTGGGCACGGAGAACACGCCCCAGTGCACGAAGACGCCCAGCTTCGCCTCGTCGAACCAGGCGGGCAGCGGCCGCGCGTCCAGCGACTGCCAGGTGGGCTCGTAGCGCGGCCCGCAGCGCGGCCCGCCGCCCGCCAGCACCACCAGCAGCAGCAGCAG